GGGTTTGCACATATTCAGGTCGACATACCTCAATATGTGCATGCATGGCTCTAACGTCCTCAGTCAGAGGGAGCAGGTCCGGAGTGTTCCACTTGGCTTGCCGGAGGGTCTGTAGGGCAGCAGAAGAAACACACACGTCCCACCTCTTCTCAAGAAGCAGCCGGCTTCGTTGGAGGTTTTTAATAAATAGTTCATCAACACAATGCTCCATTTTTGAGTCACATTCAACAATATCTGCTAGCTTTCTGAGGCTATGGCCGAGTTTGAGGGCCAAGGATGGAGTCTTGTATTGATTTGTTTCCTCATCATATCCAGCCACAGACCTGACTGCATCAATCACATGGTTAAAGTTGGAAGGAATAAAGAAATCCTTAATTGTTTTCAGTTTCCCTGCGGTTTTTGCTTCGTTAATTAACCTACCGACTTCTCTCATTTTCTGCCTAATGTAATCATGCTTAGTCTTATCATGCCCGTGTTTTAAGTACAGGTGCTCTCCGAGTCTCAGAATCCCCTTTTCTGCTTTGACAACACCCGTGACCTCATCCTGATGCATTGCCGAAATTAAAGACCACAGCTTTTTGCTGATGCCCTCCGGTACAGGCTGGGCTAGGGAGCAGAGGGACTGGACCCTACTTCTACCTGGTTTAGCCTGGTTTAGCCTGGGCATCTTTCTGTGAAAGCCGGCACCTGGCCACATGCCTCCACAGCGACTTTCGCTTAAGCAATGCCCCACAGTCTATACAGTGCAAAAACTCACTGGATTTAACTGGGGAATTTGGCTGTTTAGCTGGGACTAAAGTTCCAATGCCGGCCTTTAAAACCTCAAAATTGTGCTCACGGTTTCCACTATTCCTGATCAAATCAAAGTGAAGTTTACGTGCTTTAGATTTCACAGGTAGAGCCAATGCTCTGGCTACGTCACTTTCATTTCCATGTTTTCTAGTCAAATGACGGGACATTTTGTGGCAGGACATTGAACAGTAGAGGCAGAAGTGTCTCTTGCTGTAAACTCGCCCCCCATTTTTCTTCTTTTGCAGCTGCATGATAACAATCTTATTTGCCTTTGGTTCGTCACTTTCCGAGTCTTGAAGAAAAGTGTTTTTGATTTTTCTTTTTCCATACTTTTTTACAGGTTTCTTCTTGACAGTTAAATCGTCAGAATCTGAGTCGACTTCATCAATTAGGGACTCTTGACTAAGCTGCACAAACAACAAATAATTTGTAATAATTCTATATAACAATTTGAAGTCATGACTTGTAGTCAGCACTTACCAGTGGTTTGTAAGCGTGCGCTTCAGTGTGCTCCTCCATGATTTCTTGCAGCCTAATGAACCACACACTTGCACCTTTTCACCTGATTTCCTCTGTTGTGCTGCTCCATGATTGGCTCCAGCCTGCTGGACTGAAATTGCCCCAGTGTGCCCCTCCTTGATATCCCGCAATCCACCACCAGGGTTCCGACACATAACACACTTTTTTCAGGAAAGTAAACCTCCAGGGGTCCTTTCCATATTTTTACAGAGACTGCATAAGGACCGTTAGAAAAGCATTACCCATTGATTATTAAGCTTGGACCAGTGGGGTCCGGTGTTCGGGCCCCACCACGTAAAACCAGTCCCCATGACGTGAGTGGAATCTTAGGTTATGGACCCCACCAGGAGTTGAAAACAAGTGCACACGCACACACACACACACACACACACACACACACACACACACACACACACACACACACACACAGATGAGATGAGTGTTTCATTATTAAATGAACAAGTATGCTCAGTATCAGTGCATCCTGGTTTCCCCAGACACAAACAGTGGCTTCCAAAAAAGGACGAAAATGACTTGAACATATGCACACTGTCATGTTTAAAGAAAAGTGGACAAACATGTATGTGTTGTGTTTTCACTTCACAGTTGTGATCTTCAAAAGAAATTCCAAATGATATTGGTCTGTGGTTGTAAACATGACATGGTGAGAAACAGGGATATCTTTTGGTTTTTTCAACATATATTATGTAAAGCTTTTTTTTTGGAAAACGTATAATGCAAATACACTGTTTAACTATGGTCAATATTGTTCCCTCATCACAATATAGACCTGGGGCTGTTTTAATATCACACACTTTTGGCCAGGTTGCCTTTTAAAACAAATGTATTGTTTCATACATTTGTTTTGGCAAACTCTCATGGGTAAATTACAATCTTTACCACCACAGTTCTGTGTTTGAAGCTGGTAATTATCTAATTTAAAAAAAATCTAATTCTGCGTCTGAGGCTCTGCTTGGTCAGGA